CAAACACGACCTCGATCTAACGTGACATGAGCTATCGTGAAACTAACGTGATGTAAGCTATCGTGAAACAATCGTGCCATCAGCTAGCGTGAAACAATCGTGACATCAGCGAGCGGGAAACACCAAAATAATGTGACACTATCGTGGACGTTTTAAAAATACTTTTAATTGCAATAAAAAATTAATTAAATTTAAATAGCCACAAAATTATAAACGGCTTTCTGTTATATTTAATGCTAAATTTAGAATTTATCGGTTAAATGAAGTTTTCTTTAGACAATCAAAAGCCTTTAAAGTAGACTGGTAAAATCTGTGTTCTATAATTGGGGGGGGGGGGTATAATTAGGTGAGTTTAATAAGGTACAACCAGAAGGGCTGGTACAATATGGGCGCTGTAATTAGGTACAACAATAAGGGTTAGTATAAGTTTGGAGCTGTAATTAAATACAACCAGTAGGGCTAGTATAAGTTGGGAGCTGTAATTATGGGAGCTGTAATTAAGTACAACCAGTTGGGAGCTGTAATTAAGTACAACCAGTTGGGAGCTGTAATTAAGTACAACCAGTTGGGAGCTGTAATTAAGTACAACCAGTTGGGAGCTGTAATTACCAAACAATGCGAGGTGGAGCCATAAATTGGCCCCGAAATGTGGGGTAAAGACACGTGCGGGTTGAGCTAATTTTAAACTTACCTGCGAGGATAAGGTCGGCGGGGGAAAGGTAAATATGGCACCAGAGGTATGTCGGGGTGGGGTGGAGGGGGGGGGGGTTGGGTGGAGAGATAATTAGTTCAGACGACCGAACAAGCTGGCAAACATACACATTTAGCGCGTTTATACCACCCTAACCGCTAACATGTGGGATCATCACGCTAAATACGATCAATTAGCAGTTTAGGTCTTAATATATTAAACAAATATAATGCGTTTTATTTCTAGTACACGAAGGTTTCTGTGAAAATCACATTAAAATTTGTTCATCTTGCTATTATTACTTTAGGGGCTGAAAGAAAGATTTCAGATTCAGAAGATTTCAAAGGTGAATAAATAATCACAGACATATTACACATTTTGGCTTTCAACGGTGAAATAAATAAAAAAAAGTTGATCAGAAGTCATCGTTAGAAAATAAAAACAGCGAAAAAAATTGTTTGAAATGTTCATGTCATGACGTTCATGCCATGTTATATCCTGTCATTCTTGATCTTAAAAATCTGAATGTGCTTCTTGTTGTATAATTTTTATTCATTAAAACAACTTTAATTATCGGCATCACTAATTCAAATACATTATCAGTTGAACACGTCTGTGTCCGAGGAATTATTTTTAAAAAATTAAACGTAGTAGCCGCCCTTGGTCTGTGGGGTATTATTTAATGACGTCGTCAACCAATAGTTTTATCCCACTTCACAATATGGCCGCTAGTGCAGCAGGGTCACATTAATTACGTCCCTTGGGTGGCATTTTTCAAACGTAGTTACTTCCCTTCTAAAATAATACTTGTAAGTTATTTAATTAAACGTTGGATTGGTAGAAACATTGGATTGCGAATACATTTTAAAATTTCTTTTTTTAAAATGTTAATAGGATGAAGTAATATTTCGTAGATCGAGAGTTCTATATTCGATACTTTTTATTCATTTTAGAGGTGAAATACATTGTTAGCCCTATCGTTGGGTGGGAAAGGTGTATGGAAAATAAGGGAAGATTAAAGTATGGACCTTTTGTGGTAGGGACGTTTGTGGTAGGGACGTTTGTGGTAGGGACGTTAGTGGTAGGGACGTTTGTGGTAGGGACGTTAGTGGTAGGGACGTTTGTGGTAGGGACGTTTGGGGTAGGGACGTTTGTGGTAGGGACGTTTGGGGTAGGGACGTTTGTGGTAGGGACGTTTGGGGTAGGGACGTTTGTGGTAGGGACGTTAGTGGTAGGGACGTTTGTGGTAGGGACGTTAGTGGTAGGACGTTAGTGGTAGAGCGTTTGTGGTAGGGACGTTTGTGGTAGGGACGTTAGTGGTAGGGACGTTTGTGGTAGGGACGTTAGTGGTAGGACGTTAGTGTTAGGGACGTTTGTGGTAGGGACGTTAGTGGTAGGGACGTTTGTGGTAGGGACGTTAGTGGTAGGACGTTAGTGGTAGAGCGTTTTGGTAGGGACGTTTGTGGTAGGGACGTTAGTGGTAGGGACGTTTGTGGTAGGGACGTTTGTGGTAGGGACGTTAGTGGTAGGACGTTTGTGGTAGGGACGTTTGTGGTAGAGCGTTTGTGGTAGGGACGTTTGTGGTAGGGACGTTTGGGGTAGGGACGTTTGTGTTAGGGACGTTTGTGGTAGGGACGTTTGGGGTAGGGACGTTTGTGGTAGGGACGTTTGTGGTAGGGACGTTTGGGGTAGGACGTTAGTGGTGGGGACGTTTATGGTAGGGACGTTTTGGATGGGGATGATATAATGTGTTGGGGGGGGGGGGAGGGTTCATAGTCGAGGAGAAGCCATGCCTGTTGGGCCGTTGATTGAATGAGCCTGTGAGATGGGGGTCGTAAGGTCGGGGCCGACTTGAGGCTTTGTTGGGTTAGGACGGAGAGAGTGGGGAGTGGAGGGAGTAGTTAGAGAGGGGAGTGGCTGGACAGTGGCGCCGGCAGCCATATTGATATCCTGTGACAGCGGTCATCTGTCACAGCTGCTGGTAGCAGAACCTGCGTCCTTGGCGACTTGATCCTGTAACCATGGCAACCACGTCACCGACACGTGACTAGAGACCATTCTGTATCTACCACGATAAAACTAACAGGGAAAAAGACTAAATGTATCGCTTACTCTAAAGGTTATATTTCAGGTTTAAACTTATTGAGAACTAAGTCCTTTTCTAATTTGAAATACCAATTACCAATTATTTAATTATTCTAACGGTAATTAATTCTTCTGTTTCTATACATTAAATGTTTGACTAAATACAGTTCAGTTTTATTTTCGTAGTTTATTTGAAAGCAACAGCCAAGCTTTCCCCGCCACTGAGATCTATAACACAGATGAGACTTGGTCCAAAACTCAGAGCAGGCAGTGTGGTTGTTGTTGTGTGTGGTGGATTGTGTGTATGTGTGTGGTGGATTGTGTGTATGTGTGATGGTGGATTGTGTGATGATGGATTGTGTGTATGTGTGATGATGGATTGTGTGTATGTGTGATGGTGGATTGTGTGTATGTGTGATGGTGGATTGTGTGTATGTGTGATAGTGGATTGTGTGTATGTGTGCTGATGGATTGTGTGTATGTGTGATGATGGATTCTGTGTATGTGTGTGGTGGATTGTGTGTATGTGTGATGATGGATTGTGTGTATAGTGATGGTGGATTGTGTGTATGTGTGATGGTGGATTGTGTGTATGTGTGATGATGGATTGTGTGTATGTGTGATAGTGGATTGTGTGTATGTATGATGGTGGATTGTGTCCATACAGGGCATACATCCGTGCCCTACTTCTGCTAGTTTACATAGAGGGCATACATCCGTGCCCCTACTTCTGCTAGTGTACATAGAGGGCATACATCCGTGCCACTACTTCTGCTGGTGTACACACAGGGCATACGTCCCTGTCCCTACTTTCATGATATAATGATGTACATACAGGGCAGGGCATACAATCGTGCCCCTACTTCTGCTGGTGTACATACAGAGATAGATAACATGCGACCCCTGAAGTAGGTTACATTCTAGCCATCTGGCTCTGGTTCCCTAGCAACGAGGAGTCTGGTAACGTAAAAATTTCTACAGGAAATAAAAATTGGTACTCTGCTTTACTTCAGTCCGCCATTACAGCTGTAGGTAAATTTCCGGCTGTGCGGCTGTGGGCTGGTACCCGGCTGTACGGCTGTGGGCTGGTACCTACGGCTGTGGCAGGTACCTACGGCTGTGGCAGGTACCCGGCTGTACGGCTGTGGCAGGTACCCGGATGTAAAATGAAAGTCATTAACATGAGTACCGAATTCGGTCATTAGACCGGACAGAGCTGGTGCTAATTACCGGCTAATTAACCATCTTAAAGTAAATCCTGTGTCAGCCAGGGTAGCAGATAAAAGTAAACAGTCGCTTTAGCACAGATCCGATCACGTGATACACATGGCTTTAATTTTTTTAAAAGCCAATCCTATTTTTGACGTTAAACTTAATTGGAGTCTTGCGTCACTGTATGATATATGGTTACTGGAGTCACCATCGCTGTGTTATTTCACTGACTTTTTAAAAATTTATTTACATTTTTACAGAATAAAGTTGGTTTTGTTTTCTTATATTTAAAAAAAAATAAAACCATTTTATGTGTTTTTTGTTACACGGATTCATTGTTTCATATTTCACAGAATAAAACCCCCTTGTCTCTATAGTTTGGTCTCGTATATTATCTAGCCTGATACACATATACATGACATTAAGCAATAATAAACAGTCCGTTTTCGCGGTAAATATTTTAAAATTAACATTTAAACCATGTGTTTTATTAAAAGTATGTGTTTTGTGTGTATATGATGTCTACACACATAGCTTAACATCTGTTTGTTGTGTGTTGCTGAGCACTGTGTGTTTACTGTGTAGTGTGTCATGTGTTATCTAACTCACCACGACCCCACACAAAACTGTTTGCTCGACAAATCAATGTTAAAAAAAAACAACACATACGCGTGGCGGAGAGCTAAAAACATCGGCCGAGACTTCTAATAATAGACGAGTTACTCACTCGTTTGGTGTTTGTGTGCAGCATATCGTGAGCACAGGTGCGAGGGCTGATAACTCGACACTTAGAGCTTTACCCAACACCCACACATACATACATACAAACATACACAGGCTACACACGTACACACACACGTTTTTGAAGCTACTCTACGGTAGCCTCTAAGCTTGTATCTCACGTGTAATGGCGGTGCGTGAGTTGTGGGGTTAGTTTCACGCTAGAAAAAACACACAAAGATGACGTGCTAAAAGTTTTCAATGGTGAAATGGGAGCCTAAAAATAACTTACGGAGGAAGGCTGTGGAATGCTTGATGGTGTTGCCGCGTTGATGCCCCCTGTAGTTGAGAAACAAAAACTGCTCGTGTCAGATCAGAAGCAATGATCAATGTAAACATATGGGGAGATTTAACAGATCAGAAGCAATAATCAAAGTAAAGATATGGGGAGATTTAACAGATCAGAAGCAATGATATGGGGAGATTTAACAGATCAGAACCAATGATCAAAGTAAACATATGGGGAGATTTAACAAGTCAGATATCAATCATATGGGGAGATTTAATAGATCATAAGCAATGATCAATGTAAACATATGGGGAGATTTAACAGATCAGAAGCAATGATCAAACATATGGGGAGATTTAACAGATCAGAAGCAATGATCAGTGTAAACATATGGGGAGATTTGTCATTTATCAGGGGAGATATATTGTTCTTGGTGTGACTATGGAAGAAAATCCAGAAAGAAAACAGGCTGAGATCGGAGTCAACTGGCCATATGGCGCATAACCAGTTGACTCGTAATACTTTGTTGGAGGAAATCCCTTGCAACATTTCAAGTGAGAACGTGGAAGAAAGTGAAAATATAGTCAAACTTCTGTATTAAAAACTATGCTATGGCGATTTTACATAGTCAAACTTCTGTATTAAAAACTATGCTTATGGCGATTAAACATACAAAGATTTCATTGGGGTCAACGCAGAACGAACAATCTCTTAAACTTTGTTTCTTCCACCTGTATATTTTGTTATTCTACCACTGAAGGCGTACGACATTGATACAATGTATAGCCTGTATAGCTGAGAGCATTTTCTAACATGATGAAATGGTGACACCCTGTGAGCAACACGACGTTATGGTGACACCCTGTTAGCAGTTTATAGCATGATGAAATTGTGTCACCCTGTGTAAAGTTTCTAACATGATGAAATGGTGACACCCTGTGAGCAATGTCTAACGTGATGAAATGGTGACACCCTGTTAACAGTTTCTAACGTGATGAAATGGTGACACCCTGTGTAAAGTTTCTAACATGATGAAATGGTGTCACGCTGTGCAACGTTTCTAACACTAACTAACCATCATCTATGTATTTATTCATTATTTTAAAATCCCCATACAGAGCTTTTAAAATAAAACTACTAGCTCAAGATATCGCGTGTATTTAGGATATTTGTTCTTGTCTATAGTCTGAGATTTAAAATAACAAAATAAAAACACAGCATTAATCTGTTGGTAAAGATACTTTGATGAGTACCTATAATCTTATATGCAGGTTACTTGCTTTTGTCCATGTTTTTATCTAAAAACAGCTTGCGTTAGGAGCTCTGCGCGTTAAGTAACGAAACATGCATACGGGTTGCTGTACTGAAGTGAAATGTAAACCTCCAACGTTGGCCAGGTCTGTAGTTCACTTGTGTCGGTAAACACAATGTTCAATCCGTCTAATTACAATCAAAATGATACCCTAGTCTCCGGGCTGTTCCGATAAGGGATCTTAAATATAGCTATTGACGAACGTCTAAAAATAACACCATCGGCCTATCAGAAGAAAGGATATATTAGCTTATGGATTTAGCTGGTTAGGGGATTAGGAGCCCTTACAATGATCCACGATATTGTTAACACGCTGTATGGTAGAGGGGTATCGCATGGAGTTTTAGAGAAGCTTTGAGACAAAACTCGTTTGTTTGTTTGTTTGTGTGGGCTAGTGTGTGTATGTGTGGGTAAGAGTGTGTATATCGAAACAAACACACCATTAAATGAATCTTTAAAAAAATAATGTTTCAGATCGCGCAACATGCTGTTGGTTTTGTAACGTTTGTGGTTGATGCTTTAGAAAGAACACCATTAGCGTGATGCTTTGTATAGAAAACACCATTAGCGTAATGTTTTAGAAAGGACTTTACTGAAATTATACACGCTTCAGCTCACTGCAAGCAAGATGAATTAGATGTAGTCTAGACGCCAATGATTTCAAACCGCTGGGACTGCCAGCCAACACTATGTCATTGTGTGCATCGTGGGAAACAGAAACCCAAGGCTGATTAGGCATGCTACTTTTTTTTTTAAAGCTGGTGATTAAAGCACTGCTAATTTTTTAATCCAGCTGCTAAACAAACCACCAAATGTATTACAAGAAATGTAGAGCATGTTGAACAGATTTCGACGGTATATTTTCTCTCTATAATCCGATGTTTTTAAACCAAAACCTGTTGTCTGGTCACAGTGAAGATATGTTAAAGACAAGACATTCTACATGTAACGATTAGCGTTTCGTTACGAATGTGTTACATTCTACATGTAAAGACTGACGTTTCGTTACGGATGTGTTAGTTTATGTGAGGGTCATGCTATTGAGGAAGGTGATGGAAGGTGATGACATTGTCATCATAAACTTGACATGACACAACCACATCATCTGTCACTGTGTCAGTTTGTTTTTGTTTTGATTATGTTGTCACATCATCTCCACCCCAATCCCCCCTCCCCCAATCAACTATCGAGTAAACCCATACTCTCCCAGTTTTTAGAGATGGCACTAGGCCGGGTATGTGCAAAAAGAACTTAATGTACTAGGCCGGGTATGTGCAAAAAGAACGTGTACTCACCCAGAAATTCCAGCAGTACCCGCGGTCTGAGACAGTAGAGACAGGATCAGCAGGAAAGGAGCCTCGATTTCGCGATTATTCCGGTGGAATGATGGGAAACGAGAAGGGGGAGTAACAGGAAGGGGAAGGCTGCTCACCAGAACTCTGTGAGGGCGCCTGCCGTTGCGAATAAGTGTTGGGATGGTGGGTGCGATTTGCGTTTTAATTTTTTTCTGGACACAAGAAATCCCCCCCCTCCCCCATCCCCAACCAAGCAAAAGAATAAAACAAAGTTGTGCGTTATAAATCGGGACGTAGATATAGGGTCTAGCTCTAGATTTGAGGCAGAGCTTAACGTTATCGCCTACGTTATGAAACAGACGGTCGCCGCCTTTAAAACTTGAGCTCATGTTTAAAGCCGGGGGAGGGGGCAGGCAGGGGGGGGGTTCTGCTTGAAACCGGCGTACGTACAGACGAACAGGCTGCCAGGCACGGGTTCTACCTGAGCCAGGATGCCGGCACTCCGCCCACCCTCGAGCACCCGGCCGGCCGGCCACGACAGAAAGTAATTAAAGATCACAACCGGAGGACTTCACTACAGATTGGTCTCCTCGTGGCGGGAACCACGTGATGTCATATGTTTCTCATTGGTATATCGTATAACAGATGGACGTGTTTTCAACTTATTTATCGAGGCTATTTTTAGACACTGGACAGGCCGGATATGAAGCTGTGGGGGACTGACTGTGGCCAGTATTCATCGTGGCGCCGATAGGGACTAGATAATACATGGGTTTTTTTTTTTAAATGTGATGAGGGGGTAACGCTTATCTTAGTATATCTGCACGGAATGTAACACTACAAAGCTGGGGTGGTGGAGGTGGGGGCTGGTTGGGATCCCGTATCACAACTTGCTACCAAAAAGGGGAGAGTTATTTTCGGCTCCCAGCGCCGACACGCCGTGAAGCTTATATGGTTGCTAGGCTGCGCTGAACACATGCGCACGGGCGCGTGCTCCTCGGTGTAGGCTCACACGGGAGAGGTGCACTTGCCTGATTGTGATGCTGCTCTGCTACCAGGCTCGCCCCACCCCCCTACACCATCCCAGCTCCTCCCCTCCCCCTACACGTCTTGGTGTTTATTGTACCGTTTTTTTGTGTGTCTTTTCTCATCTCACTGCAACAGCCGCTTGACTCGTCTGCTTCGATCATCAATTGATCGCCTTCAATAATCGATTGAGTTCAGCAGTCAATTGCTCTCTATAATCGATGTGTCTGTCTCATCCATCAATTTGTCTTAACCGTCACTCAGTCTCAAAAACAACTTGTCTGTCTCAACAATCAGTTTGTCTGTCTCAATCATCAATTTGTCTGTCTCAACAAACAATTTGTCTCAACAATCAGTTTGTATCAACAATAAATTTCTGTCTCAACAATCAACAATAAAATTTCTCTGTCTCAACCATTAATTTGTCTGTCTCAACACTGTGTCTGTCTCAACATTCAGCTCAGTTGTGTGAACAACTGTCACACTAAGCCATTCGATCTGGAAAAGAAAAAAAAAAACCAGTGGACCAACTCAGCGATTATTCTAATGGGGGAGGGAAGGGGGGGAGGGGCTGTTCTTGTAACTTCCCGACCCAAGGGACATCACAGGTGTCATGTAGGTCAGGTATGGGGTGGGGGTGGTCTAGAGGACGCCGCTGGTTCACCCTCCCCCCACCTGCATGTCTCAGCAGACTGTCTCAAACAGTCTCTAACGCACACTGTCATAAACTTAACCACACTGTATTAAGCTCAAACACACTGTCGCTACACACTGTCACAAAAAAACATTGTCTCATATACATTCTCAAACACACTATCTCGTCACACTGTCTTAGGGGTCATCCATAAATGACGTCACGCTTTCTTTGACGATTTTACCTCCCCTTCTCCCCTCCGTCACACATTGTCACAAAAAGCCAGACCCCCCCCCATAAAATGACGTCACACCTCAGCCTACAACCCCCCCCCCCCCCCCCCCCTCAAAATTGCAGTTGAATTTTTCTTAAAACATCAATATTTTTCCAAAATCTTGTCTGAACTCTGTCAAAATAGAGTATTTTAATAAATTCCTATTGCAATTTATTAAAACAGTTTTCTAAAACGCGAAATAACGTCTAAAATTCGTTTACTAACATTGCTTTTTTATTATGCAAAAGTGTGACGTCACAACATCTGAACCCCCCCCCCCCCTCCCCCTCATCACACACCGTCACAAACTTATGGACCCCCTTTCCCCTCCGAGTGTGACGTCATTTATGGACGACCCCTTACTCGAAACACAATGTCTCAACACGCTGTCTCAAAGCACGATCTTTAACACACTGTCTCAGCACACTATCAGCACAGAATGAAGGTGTGGGAGGAGGGGCTGTGTGGAGGTGTGTTGTCTGTCTCCCACCAATCAAAATCCGCCTACTATCCGACTCTTTCTGCCATCCTACACATCCTTTGTCCACCCACCATCCTGCCCACTGAACCACGTGACTGTCCACAGTGTCTGCCGTCCCAACCCCTCCCCCACTAATGACACATGCGAGGGCATGTCATAGGATCGGCAGGCCCAGAGAACCTAACCTTTAACCTTCGTATCCTCAATGTGGTTAAACCCTTATCACTCAACGTAAACCGTTTAGCCGGAGCGCAGGCTAAACCGTGAAACCGTGACTTTGGTTACACTGTGAAGTCTCCTCTTACACTGTGACCCCCCCCCCCCCCTCAGTCGGATTTAACAGTACCCCCCGCCCCGGCACCCTTCGTTTATAATAATAAACCGGGCTTAATTTTTAAAATTTATCGACTATAGCGATTGGAATAAGAAATTGGGATGACAGCAAAATACATTAATAATAATATATTATTAAATTAATAATTCACTAATTTAAAAAAAAACATTTGAGATCTTTTTGTTGGCTAAGATTTTCTTTGCCAGATCGAAAATCTCGATTCTCTTTTGAGAGATTAATTTTATTTACTGTTATGTCTTATTACCAAGAGCTGATAATGCATTTATAATGTTTTTAGATATTTTTTTGTCTTCATTAAAAGAAAGTTCACAGGCCAAATAACGAAAATAGAAATTTCATTAGTTTCAAAGTTAGTTAACATTCTTTTCAGGGGAAGCTACTATTTTAGATTATATATGCTAAATAATTGAGTTATCTTTCTTTAGTCTAGACCGCGTCAAATATTAGCAGTGTCCAATTTTATTTCTGCTCCCACTATTCCCCACACCTTTCTTATCCCCCTTTTCAGTGTATTTTAGATCTCTTACAAAAATGAACAGGATCAAAATTTTTGTTTACAAATTAGCAATCTAAACATGCTAACAATGGGAAGTCAAACAATTCTGGAATGCATTTACATTCTCAATTTTGCTTGCAGCAAGTGTTTTAAAAATGTAACCAGATCGGTTTTAAAAAATTAAAAGTTCTAATACATAGGCCTAATGAATATAAAATCATGTTCCCATCGTTTCATTAAATGATTATGAAATTTAAAATAGATACAATACCAGGCCTAACGGAGTATATTTTTCACAATATCACGAGCATAACATACTTTTTATACGCCTAACAGGACAAAGACAGTTGTGAAGACAGAGCTATATTTAATTTTTAAAAGGAAATTAATTCGCTGGGGGCTGTCTCTCGGACAGCAGGTGATGTAGGTATGGGGGGGGGGGGGGGGGGGTCTGCATGTCAAAGTGGAAAATATTCACAATTTATTTTGAACGAAATGTTTAGATAAAACAGATGTATTAGTAGTTTATTACGAACCAAATGTTTAAAGAGATATAATCACGAGATATTATTTTTTAAGCCAGCAAATGTGTTTATATAGTTTTTAAATGGCAACAAAATATATTATCAAACATTTTAAACGAGTGCGAAAAGCCCAGACCACATTTACCTTTGATGTAGCCTACACAACAAACAACAATATGTCAACAACATTTACTATTTACATTCACTTCGCTCATTACATCATACAGCGTGGAACAAAAAAAGTCGACCCATAATGTAGACCGACATTTGACGCAAATGTCCACACGCCAAATACAATGATAAAATATTACTAGGCCCTATATTCAATTGTATGCTGCTATAATCACACGTCTATGCTGCTATAATCACACTTCTATGCTGCTATAATCACACGTCTATGCTTCTATAATCACATGTCTATGCTGCTATAATCACACTTCTATGCTTCTATAATCACATGTCTATGCTGCTATAATCACACGTCTATGCTTCTATAATCACACGTCTATGCTTCTATAATCACACGTCTATGCTGCTATAATCACACGTCTATGCTTCTATAATCACATGTCTATGCTGCTATAATCACACGTCTATGCTGCTATAATCACACGTCTATGCTTCTATAATCACATGTCTATGCTGCTATAATCACACATCTATGCTGCTATAATCACACGACTATGCTTCTATAATCACACATCTATGCTGCTATAATCACACGTCTATGCTGCTATAATCACTCGTCTATGCTGCTATAATCACACATCTATGCTGCTATAATCACACTTCTATGCTGCTATAATCACACATCTATGCTGCTATAATCACACGTCTATGCTGCTATAATAACGTCTTTAATGCTATAATCACACGACTATGCTTCTATAATCACACGTCTATGCTTCTATAATCACATGTCTATGCTGCTATAATCACACGTCTATGCTGCTATAATCACACGTCTATGCTGCTATAATAACGTCTTTAATGCTATAATCACACATCTATGCTGCTATAATCACACGTCTATGCTGCTATAATAACGTCTATAATGCTATAATCACAAGTCTATGCTGCTATAATCACACATCTATGCTGCTATAATCACACGACTATGCTTCTATAATCACACATCTATGCTGCTATAATCACACATCTATGCTGCTATAATAACGTCTTTAATGCTATAATCACACATCTATGCTGCTATAATCACACGTCTATGCTGCTATAATCACACGTCTATAATGCTATAATCACACGTCTATAATGCTATAATCACACGTCTATGCTGCTATAATCACACGTCTATAATGCTTTAATCACACGTCTATGCTGCTTAA